GGTCAGCTACGGCACCAAACAATTCCTCAGACCCCAGATTGCGAAATCCCCTTTGCGCGTCAAACATGCAGACTGAAAAACAAAGAAGATATGTTAACTTACAATGTTCTGCTGCTGCTACTACTACTGCTACTACTACTACTACTACTACTACTACTACTACTACTACTACTACTACTACTACTACTACTACTACTACTTCTAGTACCGGTGCTAGTACTAGAAGCACTCTCAATGAAAACCAAAAACTGGCCCATGTCGAGTTCGAGGTTCCTGGGTAGCCCCGTTCAAAACAAGGGGGTTCAGGGCTTAGGGTTTAGGGCTTAGGGGTTTAGGGCTTAGGGGTTTGACTATACTGAACTTAGAGCCCCGCAAAAACCTACAAATTCTAGCTGATTCTCACGGATTAAAGCCAGCATAAGCCCTCACATAAGTAGGTGATATAGGGGCCTTAACAGCTAAAATAGGATTTCGGGGCCCATTCTACTATGATTTAGGATCCTACATGAACCTTTTCAAGTAGGATTATATAAACCCCAGGGGGCTAAGGCTCACCTACTCGGATGCTTATCAATGTTGGAGACAGGCGGCTGTGAACAGCATTGGCGGTTCCACCTCCGGAGCTGTGATTTTTGCCATGGAGGTGGAACTGGGATCAGAGGACGGACACCTCACCGCAAATGTCCGATATCCTCTGTTCCGGCGAAGCAGGCTAGCGCCTTGAGCCCAGCATGCAGAGTGCTGATTTAGGGGGTATGGGGTTTAGGGTGCCTGTGAGGATACCCTCATTCATGATTCTGATGCACTGCACCCATCATGGACCCGGACGCCGTATGTCACCATCTAACTGACATGGCACCTGTTGCGCCGATAAATCACAAGCCACGTGGATAGCATACCATGGACATGCCTACATAATAACAGAACGCTAAATCCCATTCTGCCACCATCCACGTCCATGCGGCATGTCTGCCATTGAAACGAAAAGGCATTGAACAAGACAACGTTTCCATCGGCGTTCTCATTCTCGGTTTGTGGAAGCCTCGCGTCTGCTTCAAGTTGGCAAAGTCGGTCCGGTCAGGTCAGGCAGCGTTAAATATCAACAACCGACTTCGAGAGACGAGCTGCGAACCAAGGCCCGTGCAAGAACGGTCGCTAGTCCGGTCCTTAGGTTGCGCTTAGTACCCGTTTATCAATGGGTAAAATATTACGTTTGCAGCAACAAGTACTATGGCTTGAGGGGCAGGGTTGCCGACTCACTTCACCATTTCGGAAATGGATTTGGTCAAAGCTGAAGGAAGACCGGTGTTCCTGATGTGTCTGCTTTGGGTTTTTAGGTCTGTTGTAACCCAAACTCAACAGGCTTGAACCAGGATCCCTGGGGAATGCTTATCAAGCTCATCTGGAACTGAACGCAAAATTCTAACTCATAAGCACATGGCTTCGGTGTTGGCCTGGAAGGGCTTCGCTGCGCTTTAAGATTGAAAGTTGTCACAGAAGTAGTGGTAGGACAGGGAGGACGAGTAGTCAGTAGTAGTCGGACTAGCAGTAGTAGCAGTCGCCGCAGCAGCAGTAGTAATCGTGGTCCTGCTCCTAATCGTACTCGTAGTTGTAGCAGTCATCGTCATGGTCATTGTAATCCCTGGTGTCGCCGACGCTGTCCTCGCCCTCGCCATTGTCGTCGTCGTAGTTGTCGTGGTAGTGGTAATCGTAGTCGTAGTAGTCGTAGTAGTAATCGTAGTCGTAGTAGTCGTAGTAGTCGTAGTAGTCGTAGTAGAAGTAGTAGTAGTAGTAGTAGTAGTAGTAGTAGTAGTAGTAGTAGTAGTAGTAGTAGTAGTAGTAGTAGTAGTAATAGTAGTAGTAGTGGTAGTAGTGGTAGTAGTAGAAGTAGAAGTAGAAGTAGAAGTATAATGAGAAGTAGAAGTAGAAGTAGAAGTAGCAGCAGTAGTAGTAGTAGTGGTAGTAGTAGTAGAAGTAGAAGAAGAAGTAGTAGTAGTCGTAGTCGTAGTCGTAGTCGTGGTAGTAGTAGCAGTAGTAGTAGCAGTAGTAGTAGCAGTAGCAGCAGCAGTAGTAGTAGTAGTAGTAGTAGAAGTAGTAGGAGTAGCAGTAGCAGTAGTCGTAGTCGTAGTCGTAGTCGTAGTCGTGGTAGTAGTGATAGTAGAAGTAGTAGTAGTAGTAGTAGTAGTAGTAGTAGTAGTAGTAGTAGTAGTAGTAGTAGTAGAGATAGTAATAGTAGTAGCAGTAGTAGCATCCGTAACAATACTCAGTGAGACCAGCAGCAGTGTCCACGAAGCCGGATTTGGGGAGGAACCATCGGACATTCAGCGATGGCGAAAACGGAGAATATGCCAGGCCAAGCTTAGTTGCTGAGTTCATAACTGGGTTGGCCTTTACAGTGAACCCCATAAAGTTGGAAACCGGATTAAGCCCAAATACTGCTGGGATTCCCTATACATGACTCTTAAGGATTGAGGCTCTTGGGTTTCCAACTTTTGGGCTTCTACTATAAACACCCTGAAAAATTTGTATTTAAAGGGTCCCTTATAAACCCAAATAAGGAAAATCAAAATGTACCAAAATCCAACCTGGACAAGCCCCCAAAAGTGTACACTTTCAGTTTTATAGTGGGTACTATTCTCCCATAGAAGTGTAAAGTGTATCCACTCAGCTACTAAGTGAGGCTATCGAGAGCCGTCTGACATTCGTCAGAGATGGCCAAAATGGCGAATGTATCATGTATTGAATGCATGAGGCCAAAGAGGCCGGGGGAAGAGTCAAGAGACCAGGAATCTGGCATGAAGGCATGGAGTGTGTAGCGGCCGTCACTAAAGCGCACCTGGCATCAAAATCCGTCCGCAAACCTTTCAGGGCTTAGCAAAGTTTGATGTTCCTGCAGATTCCACTTGGCTCTCCGAATCTTCCCGCGCTCACGCCGTGCAGACATTTCTGAACTGATATACTGGCTTGTGCTGCTTGAAATTCTTTGACAGGATCCTAGCCGCGAAATCGGAAGCCCAAGCAGAGGCACCAGACTTCGGGGTCTAGGCAAGCTTAGTTGCCGAGTTCATAGGCCCCCAAAAGTGTACACTTTCAAAGTGAGTAGTATGATCCCAAAAAGTGTAAAGTGTATCCACTCAGCTACTAAGTAAATATCACACCAAAGATTTTCAGGATCTCCGGGGCGGTTCTGGATCTGAACCCCGTACCCCAGAGATTGGGTGCCCTGAAGTAAGCAATCAATTGAGTTTAACCCGACCCTAAACCCCAAACCACTATCACAGTATAGTAGTAGCCAGAAAGTTGGAACATCATTATCCTCATGCCCTTAAGGTAAAGTATAAGGGATCCTAGCACTAATCCTCCTAAAGCCATGTTCCAACTTTCTGGCTTCTACTGTAGGTTTAGGTTTAGGGTTTTTAAGGGTTTGGGAGGTTAGACCATAAGGATTATATTAATATTCTATTAGGGCCCTATTATATTCCTATTATACCACTATTACAGGGTGGGGGCAGCTTCTAACCTAAACCCTAAACCCTAAACCCTAAACCCCTAAACCCTAAACCCCTAAACCCCTAAACCCTAAACCCTAAACCCTAAAAATCACAGTATATTTCCTCCACTGAACTTTGAGTCTTCTTACCTAGACCCAAGAGTAACCCAGGCATAAAAAGGATGCCCTTTTTGGTTTAAAGGGGTTTATAAGGGAACCTGAACCCTAAAAAAGGGAATAAGGGCCTACTCTAGGTCCTAGTTACGGAAGGTACATGCCAAGCAAAATGTCAGAAACTCTGCGACCTGGACAATCAAGCTCCTACCTGCTGACTACTATTTGCTTAAGAACCCCCCCAAAAATAAGAAATATTCCTTATGGGGGTAATATAGGGATTATTATTTTACTTTTTGGTGGTTTCTTAAGCAAATAGTAGCTGAAGGGGTTAGTGTTATAAGGCTGCCATAACAAGGAGCCCTAAAGTGGTAAGTTCTGTAGGGTTAAGCAGAAACCCTTAACCTTAACTCTATGATTCGAGGCCTATGTACTTCCTCGCTGAGAGGCTTTGCGTCTCTGGGCCCACTGCACGAAAACTCATCTCAGCTGTTCAAACAGCGAGTCTTGAGAGAGAGAGAGAAGAGACACAACTAAGCCGGCAACCTTGCCGGATGATCATCTCCTATGGATGTACCCAAACCTTCCAAAAGCCCATTATTCAGGAATCTGCCTGAAATCGTATTTGGATGGCATACTACGAATTAAGGAAATCAAACTCCTGACTTAAGGGACCCTGGAAGGTGTGGGTAGTGAGTGTCGGACGGGCTCGGGAATCACAGACCTCCGCCGCAGCCAGCTGGACTGCATGCTCCGCGAACCCGCTTTTTCTGACTCTCCGCCTTAGTTTTTGCTTCATGAGCCACCAGATCCAACTGCTGCTCTCGCGATTCTGGATGCTGCCGCCTTCTTGCATTGCACAGGTTGTTGCCTGTGTTATTGTTCTCATTACTGCTAGCTGCTAGCTGTTATCTCCATCGTTTGCATTCGACTCTGTCATTGCTACAAATGTCGCTGATGTCACTGCCTCACCATACTGTGCGACCGTCTGCGTGACCACCCCTACTTGCATGTTCTTAGAATTCGCATGCTTGACGTCGACATGAGAAGTGTTGTTGTTGCCTTGTCGATCACGCTTGTGGCAACTGTCAACACGAATGTTCTTGCCTGTCATGCATACGTATCAGATTGCTTATCATGCATGCTTGCAGCAAGAATCTGTGCAGCTCTTCTTCCGTCTTAATGACCGAACCTAGGTAGTGTAAATACTGACCCTGAGTTCTTACAACTTGGGCATTGTGGAAGTTTGGATGGCCAGGTCATGGAAGATCCTTCGTATCCACCGCGTGGCCCTGCTTTGTTAGTGACATGCTTGTTTGGATGCTTGCATTGCTGGTAGCTGTTGTTACTCTCAGCCACCTGGTTCATTGTTCCGTTCCTTCTGACTAAGGAAATGTCACGATGCCTGATCTGCAGATTCATGCCAATGCAAGCCGCAGATACTGAAAGGGAGATCTGACAGCTTGTCATCCTTCATCTCCGCCAAAATGTTAATTTGTTCAGCATACCTGCAATCTTTCGCGTTCGGCAGAAGTTGCACTTTGTCTGTTGATCCCATACTGACTTCCCCAATAAGCCACCTAAGTAAAAGCCTGAGCTCGCCGATGACTGCTCAACTACGAGCACCCAAACAACGCTTAATGGCTGGGAGTTGCCATAGAGAACTAACATTATCCCAATCCCGTCCCAGGCTTCTCGAAACAATTCAGAGCTCCCAGACAAGCAACTCAAAATCAACGTTTTAATGGCATATTCGTACACAGGGGTAGGTTTTACTAAGGGGTAGGTGTTACGAGCCCTCAAACGATCCGCCCTCCTGCAAGATTATGCTAAGCTGTAGTCTGAGCAGACTTCATTTCCGACTGAATCCTAACTTCACGCCCAAACCGTATCTAACTAATCGATGGCTGGGACTTACTAGCTCAAGTTATAGAGACAATAAATATACGCGCAATTACGGACACACAGGCCCCGTTAAGCTACTTATGACCCTACTCACTGAGTCCACCCCACCCTGTATCGTCCAGGTAGAACGGTAGACCCCTATGAAATGCTTGTGGAACACTTGCATGAGCCTTAACATATTGCATGAAGACTAGACATTCAAACAGTTTGCTTACCTCTTGTCAGAATTCAAAAGAATTTCGCCAAGGTTCTAATATGGGTGGTTGTCAAAGTTATTGAGGTCCCTATTAAAATACGACACCTAATATTTAGGGTACCCATAAGGGCCCTTTTAACAGCCATCCATATGGGCTTAACAAATACAACAGGGTTCCTTTAGCGTTTTCGTTGAAAGTTGGCCTTCAGGGTTTAGTATAAGGGCCTTATACTTGGAGGGCAGGGCACTTAGTAAGTAGGGTTTAGGGTTTAGGGACTTAGTAAGTAGTGTATAAGTAGAGTTATAGCATGGAGTTACCCCAATTATAATCCTGCTTATAAGCGACTTACTAAGTCCCCTGCCCCTCCAGGTAGGTTTAGGGTTCAGGGGTTTACTGCCGGGGTTTGGGGTATAGGGGTGTAGGATTTAGGGGTTTAGGTTTGTAGCACTTAGGAAAAGTTTGTGGGGTCGATGTTACGTCTTTGTATCGGGTACCGCGAGATTAGAACACAGAAGCTTTTATGTTTTTCAAGCCCGTCTATTGGGGCCAGACATCTGCGACCAGAGAGTTCAGTTACCCCCGAAAGTGAATGCTACACCTTGGCCATGCAGTCACTATACAGGAACCTTACAGTAACCCCTAAACCCCTACACTCCAAGGGCAAAAAGGAGGGACCCTTAATAAGGACCCCTAGGTATATACCCTTATTTTACCTATTATGTACCCATTATATAGCCCATTATAGGGTATGGGTCCCCATTAAAGGTCCCTTTCCCTTTTGATACACCCTAAACCCTCTAAGACCCCCCCCCCCCCCCGCCTCGTGGTCCAAGTACATACTACTCAGTTCAAAGGACGAGAGGATTAATTAACTAGGCATTTAAACGAGGTGACCCGTATTTGCCCTAATCTGCCAAAACCTACTTCTTTGTAGGGTCCTTATAAACTCCATATTAGGGTATTAGGGTTGAAAATAGAACCTGCAAAAACCTAGGGTTTGGCAGTTTAGAGCTTAAGGTATAGCTATGTAGAAATCCATCACAAATACTTAGTTCAAACATTGCTCACAACAGCTAAGTCCAGTGATCCTCCAAGTACAGAGGCACATGGCTCCCGAAAAGCCGTAAAATAGCAAACCCTACTTAAAGGCTCAGGGGACTTACTAAGTAAGGTTATAGGTAGGTTACAATGAAAATAACCCCACTTAGGGGACTTATAACCCCAATTATAACCTACTTACTAAGTCCCATGATCCTCCAAGTACAAGCTCTGGAGAACCTGGTTCAGGGCTTCGGCTTTCCTAGATAGACCACCCAACTACCCTTTATCATGCCCCAAATACCCACTAAGGCTATTCTATTAAGGACCATAAGGCCCGTATGAAGGGGCCCTTGGAGGTCCTGGTAAAGAAGTTTAGAAATGAACTCTGATGTAGCAGCCTAACTAGCAGGATCCTTAATATAAGGACCCCAAAATAAGGTACCCCCAAAGTTCGGAAACTCTAAACCCCAAACCCCTTCATAGAACCCTTTTAGTTCCCTTTAACCCTCATGGATCCCACTAGAGGTAGCCCCCAATTCTCGGTTCATGGCCTCTTCGCGAAGCTGACGACGCACTCGACGATGCTGGGGTGCTCCTTTAACGTCTCCATGAGGCTGCAAGTTGGCAAAACCAACCTCAATTTCGAGAAGAAGCGGCACCTTAATTGGGGGTGCTTAAAATAAGGGTCCTGCCACTATGGGTACCATATTAGGGCAAAGCCAGCCTCATTTTCAAGTCCTATCTTGGCATCCCTATACTTAGAAAGGCTTGGAGGATAAGTTTTACGGCCATCGACAGCAGCGTGCAACCGCGTTCAGACTGTGTTATGGGAGCCTTCGGGCAACACAATCCCATGGAAATGACTGCTCCTTAGCAACGCCTCAAACGCACCTACAAGTCTTGCGGAAGCTATGCACCGCCTCACGAACTGCAACTTGCTGGACAATCGGCCACAAAATTCACGCCGCTGTATTCCATAGCCCCAAACCCCAAAGCTCTAAACCCCTAAACCCCTGAACCCTTGAACCCTCAACACTAAGCCCTACACCGTGAACCTCTAAACCTCCAAACACCCAAACCCCAAACTCTATAGCAAGCCATGGGGTCCAGGTTTTTTCTGGTTATTTTTTATGGTTTTATTTGGGTATGTTTTATGGTTTTCTGTGCCTGGATTGTAGAAAACCCTGTAAGGGTCAGCCTGATTTTGAATTTGTTTGGGTATTTCTTATGGGGTTTCTGGGCCTGGATTGTCGAGAACTTGCACCGTGTATGATGGATTTGGAACACTCGAAACTTTCAAGAAGACACATGTGATTGTCGCAATTCCTTCTTGACGAAGAGTTATGTGATTGACGGAATTCTTCTTGTAGGCAAGCCATGCACGGCATTAAAAGAAAGCGGGCGGTTGGGGGGGTGGGGGGGGGCAGCCCCCCCTCCAGTTGCAAACCCAATGTACGTATGCATCACGTTCATATGGACTCTGTTTTTGCTGGCAGAATGATGTTTGAAGCGAGCTTGCGCGTTTTGACGAAGCGGGGACCCCACCCTCTTTGCCTATGATGGATCCGGAACATTTGAAAACCTCAAGAAGAATTATAAAACGCCCCCACCCCCCCGGTTTGCAAACGCAATGCAAAAGAGGACCGGCGGGTACGCCATAGATATGGCTATACCACATATCTTGGACACGCCCCCGTGTTTGGTAATTCCGGTTCACCATACATCTTTAACACGCCCCCTCGTTTGGCGATTCCGGTACCCCACATCCCCCCTCCTCATTTGGTTGTTCGGTTCATTATATATCTTGAACCATATATCTGAAGAACGCCCCTGATTTGGTAGTTCCGGTTCACCATATTAGAAGCACGCCCCCGTATTCGGTAAGTCCGGGTCATCCTATATCTTGTACACACCCGCCCAATTGGCGATAACGGTTCAACATACATGTTAAACATGTCCCGTCATTCGGCGATAGCGGTTCATGATACGTCTTAAACAAGCCCCCCATCTGGCGATTCCGGATCACCATATAGCATATATCGTATACCATATATGATATATCATATATCATATATCATATATCATATATATATATATATATATATATGTATATGTATATGTATATGTATATGTCTATTATATATATATATATATATATGAAGCACACCCCCCCCCCCCCCCTATTTGCTAATTTCGGTCCACCATATATCTATTCAAGACCCACCCATTCGGCGGAAACCCTTCGCCGCGGCCCAAACATAAAGCAGGGGGGAGAGGCTGTGAAACGTCTCATATATGTTACACGTTTGATTTGTTACGACCAATCGCCAATGGCCAGAAAGTGTTCTTGATGGTACGAAGTTCACTAAAGCAAGTTCACTACGGGGCTGAAGAAAGCCGGGGGGTTGGGGGCGGCGCAGCCACCCCATTTGCAAACGCACTTGCAAGCGGTAAGCATCCCCCCCCTATTTGGTAATTCCGGGTCAGCCTATAGTTTAAACACGCCACCCTCAATTGGCGATAACGGTTCAACATACATGATAAACACGCCCCCTCATTTGGCGATAACGGTTCATGATACGTGTTAAACAACCCCGCTCATTTGGCGATTCCGGTTCACCATATATATATATATATATATATATATCTGAAGCATCCCCCTTACTGGCAATTTCGCTACACCATATACGTCTTTAACACTCCCTCATTCGGCGAAAACCGTTCACCATGTATCTTAGCTTGCGTGGCCCAAACATAAAGCGAGGGGGGTTGGGCCCCTGGGGTGGGATTTGAAAAGTCTCAAAATGTTATGCACTTGACTTGCTGCGACCATCGCAAATGCCCCAATAGCGTTCTTGATGGTACGAAATTCGCTCAAAAAAACAGGGCTTGAGAAAGCGGAGGGGGGGGTCTGGGGGGCGGTGCACCCCCCCCATTTGCAAACGCACTTGCAAGAGGACCGGCGGTTCATCACATCTTAAGCAATCCCCCTCATGTGTCCATTCCCGGTTCACCATAGATTATGCAAAAAATCTCAGACACACCCCTTTCCGGTTCACCACATATCTTTAACACGGACCCTCATTCGGCGATGACCGTTCACCATATATCTTAAACACGGCCCCTCTTTTGGTGATAACGGCTCATCATATCTTCAACACGCCCTCTCATTCGGCGATTCCGGTTCACCAGATATCTTTAACACGCGCCCGCATTCGGCGATAACCGTTCACCACATATCTTAAACACGCCCCCTCTTTTGGCGGCTCCGTTTCAACATATGCCTTTAACACGCCCCCTCTTTTGGTGATAACGGCTCATCATCTATCTTAAACACCCCCCCTGAATCGGCGGTTCGGGTTCATCATATATCTTAAACGCGCCCCCTCTGTTGGCGATTCCGAGTCTCCGCTACCCCATGCTCACTGGTTGCAGGTGCAACGCCAGATCAACAGCCCGACTGACTAGAGGATTGACGGACTGACAGACTGATTGACTGACAGCCAGACTGATTGACGGCTCGGTTGGCAAACGGACTGACTGGCTGACCGACTCACCACTGGACGACCGACTGACTGACTGACTGACCGCGCGGTTGGCTGACTGACTGACTGACTGACTGACTGACTGGCTGGCTGGCTGGCTGGCTGATTGACTGCCTGATTGATGGACTGACGCGCGTATTCATTGAACCGAAAACCATAAAAGCATACCCAAAACAAAACCATAAAAAATATCCAAAAAGAACACCAAACCCAGGCCATGACGAGCCCGAATCTCCTTCATGGTATGGTTTAGTGGTTCTGGATGCTTCAGGGTTTACCTTAAGCCGGAAGAACCTACCTTTTTAAGGACATATATAAGGAAATCAAAATAGGGAACCCTAAAAAGGTAGGTTATTCCGGCTTAAGGTAGGGTCTAGGGTTTACCTTGACCCCAAATAGCCTACCTTTTTGAGGACTTATAGAAGGAGGTCATAATAGAAAACCATAAAAAGGTAGGTTCTTCAGGGTCTAGGTAGGGTCTAGGGAACACCAACCCTAAGTTCAGAAACCCTAACCTCCCGAACCGGAGAATTAGTAAGTCGTTTATAAGCAGGGCTATAATTGGGGGTAACTCCATCTAGGGTACTTATAACTCTACATACAACCTACTTACTAAGTCCCCTGCCCCTTCAAGTAAACCCCTAAACCCTAATTTTTAAGGAACCCTATAGATTTGTTGAAGGAGCCCTTTAAGAACCCTTACTACCTCCCAAAATGGCCCAGAAGCATCCAGCCGTCAGCAGTTGCCTGCAACCTCCCACGATGGCTCCAACCTGCAAGGACACCTAAACCGCGTTTAGGGTTTAGATGTTTAGGGTTCCTGGTTCCTAAACCGGAGCACTCTGAAAATCCTCGGCATCACCCAACTTCACACTTGCAAACACCAGAGCTTTACTGCTTCTTACGGATCAAAGTAACCAAAAAAGAGTAGTTTCCAAGTACCATAAGGTAAAAGCCAGAAAGTTGGAATATGATTATCCTAACCCTTCTATGGTAAATTATAGTGTATCCTACCATGAAACCATATTCCAACTTTCTGGAGTTCCCTGTAGATGACTGTGAAAATCCTGAACCCTAAACCCTACACCCTAAAACCTTAAACCCTAAACCCTAAAACCCTAAACCGTTGAGAACTTTGGTGTGTGAGTCCCTCGCCCAAACAAGGGTTAACCTTTTAGTCTCGACAGTGTCAGGTGTGCTCAAAAACGTTAACTGGTACACTTACTGAGGTTTGATCTACCTAGGATCATGCAGGGCTTCTGCATGCCATCAGCTGGGATTAAGGACACTGCTTTCGACGAAAGATTCCGATTCTCGGGTTGGTTTTGCGGGGTTTAGGGGTTAGAGGTTAGGTCTACCTTCGCGACGTTGCGACGTACCACATGCTCATCAATTCACAGTCTGCTCGGCTCCGGAACTGTTGATATAGTAGTAATAATAATAGTAGTAATAATGATAGTAGTAACAATAATAATAATGGTAATAATAGAGGCTTTCCAGTACTGGACTTGTGGTGATGCCAACCTGCAATCCACAGCGCATGTTCGCTGATGTAGTCCGCTGCTCTGAGTTGGGCCACATTCTCCTAGGCCAAAGTCTCAAGTCGCAAGCTCCGCACTGTCTCCGGCCCTCGCTATCCTGCACAATCTGATGTAATCCCGCATAGACACTGCAAGTGAGTGAACCTGATCGAGAAGAAGTCGGCTGAAGCCGCACGAAACCCTGCACAAGCCGTCAGTCGGGCATGTTCCTTTGCAAGTTTGCAAGTGTTTGCCTACATAAGCCATCTTCCCAAGACGACCACGGTTTTTTGAAGAACAATCTCCTCGATCTCGTCCATCGGCTGACCGAAACATCGCCACAAGCAGCACCTCCATGCTTGGTTTGGGGCTAACTTTTCAGGGATGTCTTCGCAAGAACTCGACAACTGGACACCTGTAAACACTGACCCGGGCCTGAACCCATGGGCCCCCACTTGGAGGCCCTTTTGACTTAGTAAGTCTACTTAGTATCCCCTAGAAACCCTATTAGAAACCCCATAACCCACCTTACTAACCCTACTTACTAAGTCAAAAGGGCCTCCAAGCACAGTAGTTCCTTTCGGGGGCATATTTTGGAGTTTCCGAAAAGTAGGGATACTGTAATTCATTTTGGGGTTCTTATAACAAGGATCCTGTAAGGTACTCCCGACAAGGGACTACTATCGGGCCTACTTAAAGGATCATGGGACTTAGTAACTGGGGCTATAAGGAAGGTAACTATACTTATACTTACTTATAACCCCAATTAAAGTACTTAAAACCTTCCTTACTAAGTCCCATGATCCTCCAAGTATGGGAAGGCACAACTGAAATCCCAAGATGCCCCCGTCATTTCCAAAGGACTCCCGAGGCAGAGCTCATTATCGCATGCTGTAAAGCTTCCGAGGGTAAATGGAGGGACCCTGGTTTAGGGTTAAGGCTTTAGGGTTTAGGGTTTAGAGCGAAGGTTTTTGCGGTTAGGTCTAAGGCTTTCGATTTAGAGTTAATCCAAGGGTAAAAGGAGGGACCCTTAAAAAGGACCCCTAGGTATATATACCCTTAATATAACCCATTATATAGCCCATTATAGGGTAGGGTCCCCATTAAGGGTCCTCCTTTTCCCCTTTGAAAGATGAGCAGCAGAGGGGCCTGTACATCTAGATTCGGGTTTGCGGGTATTGTACACTGCGGTTGATAATATAAATCCTGCATTGCCTTAAGGGCCCTAAACTATGGGAATTGTGGTATATTCCTTATTATGGGTAATCCAGGGTTCATCTCATCAACCGTATAACTCTGTGGAGACTGTCTGCGAATAACCTATGTCTTGTGGCTCAGTTTCTTGGGAATGGCCTTCCGAGTGCTGTAAGCGTAACCGAGGCGCAAAGGCACGAGCCCTTTTTCTATACTGAACTTAAACCCCGAGCAAACCGAACAAAAACTAGCTGTTTCTGATGGATGAAAGGTACCAACACTTAAAATTTATGTACTACTACTGCTACTACTACTACTACTACTACTACTACTGCTACTGCTACTACTGCTACTGCTACTACTGCTACTACTACTACTACTACTACTACTGCTACTATAAGTACCCCTGAGTTTTGTAGGTTTAAGGTGTAGGGTACTCCGTGCCTGGTCCCAGAATCAGGACCCGGATTTGTTCCAAACCGCGGCATCATGGGAAGGCTGTCGAACACATAGGAGCACTGAACCTCGGCCATTTACCCTTAACCCTAAACCCTTAAACCCTAAACCCCTAAACCTTAAGTCTTAAGGCCATTACCCTCAACCCTAAACCCCTGAACCCTAAAACCCCTAAGCCCTAAACCCTAAATCTTAAACCCCTAAACCCTAAGCCCCTAAACCCCTAAACCCTAAACCCCTAAACCCTAAACCCCAAGCCCCCTAAACCCCTAAACCCTAAACCCCTAAAACCCCTAAACCGATTAGAGCCGCATCTGCTGATTCTGCCCTTTCTCAGCCGCTTAGGGAAGCCTGACTGGAAGAAATTCCCTAAGCTCTGACCTAACATAAGATCTAAGGTTGAGGGTTTAGGGGCTTAGGGTTTAGGGTTCAGGGTTTAGGGTTTAGGACCTAGTTGCTGAGTTCATAAGCCCCCCAAAAAGTCTCCACTTTCAGCTTTATAGTGGGTAGTATTATCCCAAACAGGTGTCAAGTGTATCCAGCTACTAAGCTGAATCGTAGACTCTGAACTCCCTGCCTTGAACCCTCCTGTAAAAGCTGCTCAACTGTGACTCGGATGCCCTACAATAATAAGGTGAGAAATGAGGTAACTATACTTATAATTACTTATGACCCCAATTAAGGTACTTATGGGCTATTGGAGAACCCTAAACCCTAAACCCGTAAATCAAAACCCTAAATACAGGAAACACCTCAAACTGCTTCTCATTTTGTGACTGAGATGCCGTGGCCATCAAATACAGGCCTTCTGCGTGGTCTGATGGCATGAAGATGCAGTCGTGCCGCATCTTGTATTGCTCTGTCATGGCCTTGCTGCATATACTGTACTCCAAAATCTCCGACTTGGCACACCAGCTGGTAAACTCTTTGTGGTAGCACAAAAAAGAACGACGCGCTTGGTGGAGAAGGGTTTTCAGCATGGTGCTGGAAAATGTCTGCAACAAAGTGGTATGGGCCTCATTAGCAGCCTTCCGCGCAAGTTCACGCTCCGCGTACTTCTTCAGGCTCAGGATATGCGACGAATCGACCCCGTGCGATGCACAATAATCGCGCAAGGATTGAATGATTTGATGTTTCTGATGTCTGATACTCTGCCACCGCGCCATCACGTTCGTCACCTTGCTGATGCACACCGAGGACATGCCCAACGCCATGAAGGTGGCTACGATGGCCAATGTTCGCTCGCCATCTGGGATGCTTACATACTTGGCAGCTTCCGAATGCAGGTTGTTTCCGAAAAGGGTCAAGGGATTCGTAAATAGTGACTTTCTGGCCAAAGTATATTTTACAGCACCAGTGAGCGGCGACTCCCTTCAAAGCTGTTGTTGAGTAACATACCTTCCTTCCAAGAGATGCTACACCTTGGTATATTCAAACCTATTGTGATAGATTGTACAACTGATACCACTACATATCACATCATATCCTGCCCTATCATGTCACACTGCTTTGGTGCTATAACAACTTGAATTGTCATGTAATGGCTGTTGTGGTTGATGTTGTTGTTGTCGTTGGTGCTGTTGTTGTTGTTGTTGTTGCTTTTGTTGTTGTGGCTGTTATTGTTGATGCGGTTGTTCTTGTTAGTGTTCTTGTTGTTGCTTCTGTTGTAGTTGGTGGTGGTGTTGGTGTTGGTGCTTGACAATGTCCTTCTTGTTGTTGTTGGTGTTGTAGTTTTTATTAGTATTGCTACTATTACTAGCCACAGATTCTTCATTCTAGGGTGTCTAGGAAAAACTTGCTCTTGGTTTGTTTACAAACATTTTCCAAGGGAAAAACTGTTTTTGATCGAAAAACAAACTTTTGCCTAAGCAAAAAATTGTTTTGGAAACGGGAAGACCATCAAACAAAATTTCACTTAAACAACTTTCGTCAAAACCCAAAAGGACTTCTTGACGTAGTAGTACTAGTGCTAGTAGTAGTAGTAGTAGTAGTTGTAGTAGTAGTAGTACTAGTACTAGTGCAAGTAGTAGTAGTAGTAGTAGTAGTAGTAGTAGTAGTAGTTGTAGTAGTAATAGTAGTAGCAGTAGCAGTAGCAGTATTAGCAGTAGTAGTAGTAGTAGTAGTAGTAGTAGTAGTAGTAGTCGTAGTAGTGGTAGTAGTAGTTGTAGTAGTAGTAGTAGTAGTAGTGGTAGTAGTACTAGTACTAGTACTAGTACTAGTACTAGTACTAGTACTAATACTAGTACTAGTACTAGTACTAGAAGAAGTAGTAGAAATAGTAGTAGTAGTCGTAGTAGTGGTAGTAGTAGTAGTAGTAGTAATCGTAGTACCAGTACCAGTACTAGTACTAGTACCTACTACTAGTAGTAGTAGTAGTTGGAAAAATAGTCGTAAAAGAGTACCGGTAGTAAGACTGGTAGTAAGAGCACTGGTAGTAGGAGTACTGGTAGTAGGAGTACTGATAGTAGTACTGGTGGTAGTAGCAGTAGTAGTAGTAGTAGTAGTAGTAGTAGTAGTAGAAGCAGTAGTAGTGGTGGCGGTGGTGATGGTGGTTAGTTTTTGTTGTTGTAGATGAATGATGGAATAATAGTATTCGAAAAAAACTGGTGGTAGTAGCAGTAGTAGTAGTAGTAGTAGTAGCAGCAGTGGTGGTGGTGGTGGTGGTGGTGGTTTGCTTTTGTTGTTGTAGAAAAAATGAATAATAGTAATAACAGTACTCGTAGTACTTTTACTGCCTGTAGTATTCGAGTAGTGCTACCCCAGTCTGCCTTCCAGTTTCCCTGTCTGCCTTCATGACTTCCTTCCTTGCGTCCTTTCTTCCTGCGTTCCGGCTGTCCTTGCTGTCCAATGTCCTTCCTTTCTTTCTTCCTTCCTTCCTGCCTTCCTTCTTTTCCTCCTACCTGCCTTCCTTCCTTCCTGCCTTCCTTCCTGTCTGCCTGCATGCCTTCCTTCCTACCTTCCTTCCTAGCCTTTCTCTCTGCCTTCCCTCCTTCCTTCCTGCCTTATTTTCTTCCGTACTCTCTCTTCTTCCTTCTATTGCAAAGGGAAAAAATTTTTTCGATTGTAAATAAGTTATTGTATTTTGATTGGAATACATATTTTCTTGGATGGAAAATATGCTTGTTTTTGATTGGCATCCCGTTTTGGACCGGACAACCAACGTTTTCCTAAGAAAAACAAACAAAAACAATCTTTTGGGAACCTATGCGGCCAAAGTTCCTAGGAACAAGTTTGTTTTTCACCCCGAAACCAACTTCTTCCTGGGAATAAAAGGGGTTTTGTGTATAGATGGTTTGACAGAGAAACTAATTGAACTTTGCAAAAAACATTGGTTTTTGCGAAAGAACCAATTCTTTGACCTAGGAAAAAGATAGCTCTGTGCAGAAAAACAAACTTTTTACTAGGAAAACATTGCTTCCTTTGTGCAAAGCCAACTTTCTCCTAGGGAAAACCAACAAAATTGTTTTTGGACTTTGGCCGCGTAGTTTCCCAAAATATGGTATTTTGATTTTTGTTTTTCCTAGGACAAAATTGGCTTCCCGGTCCAAAGCCATCTTTTCCGAGGACAAAGTTGGTCTTCCACACCGAAACCAATTTTTCCGGCGGATCACCAAAAGAACATCGTGTGAGAGTTTGGCCGTCTAAGATCCCCAATTATGTGCTTCTTTTGTGTTTTCGGCTTTCCCTAGCCAGAAGGTGGTTTTTGATTGGAAGAGCACAGTGTTGCAGTGGAGTATGCGCTGACCTCCAACCTGCACGAGTTGGCTGGCACGTTCCATTGAAACGCGGGTTTGATTTTGGGAGTCTTTGAGAGATACCGAATCCGGCCCACCAAAATCTCGTTTGACACGGTATATACAATACAAAACGAGGATCGGTCGTTCATGGGGTGGGGGGGTTACCACATATTTTTTCTATGTACACACATTCTAGGTCTCCGAGTCGCCCCTTTACTACAAGGCTACCCTTGTTCCTACTGCTGGATTTCAGTGAGGCGAGGGCAAGAGAGTACTATTCCGGAACCTAATTAGTAGAGAATGTTATGATATCTGACATTGTACTACGTAGGCCATTTTATGCTATACTATGTCATATAACATTTTTGCTGCGCCTGGGAAATCGGAGAGCGGATTCTGTAGCAACATAGATTGCGAGTGCACTCGAATCCGTGATATCGATGTGGGGTTGTATAGTAACCCGTACAAACATCCTTATTCCTGAGCGTCGCTTCCGTTATTCTTCTTCTTATCGGTTTTCCATGAAACTTGCCTTATCGTGTTGTTATCGTTCTATTTTCTGCTTGTCGTTTTACCACAGAAAACCATCCAAAACCCAACAAGGACATGCCCAGACTAAACCTAAAGGCGCGGGGTTGTTATACAATCCCATGTCCCGATCTTGAAGGACGCTCCCAGATATGCTCCATACTGAACTTAGACCCCCAAGCAAAATTGTGATTTCAGCTGTTTCTTAGGGATTAAAGGAATCAACAAATAAACTTGTTTTGTATAAGTACCCCTAAGTGCTATCCTTCAAACCTAGGGCCTTCCGCCTCCCAGCCAGGACCCCGTGAACCCCAACTAGGATACCCAGTAACCTAAGAATAAAAAGGCGTCTCTTTTTGGTATTGGGTAACTTTATAAGGAACCTAGGGCTACAAAAAGGGAATAAGGGTACTAGTGGGCATCCTAGCCGTGAACCCCAATCCGCACAAGCCCGAACCTGTCTCGAGGGTCATGTTCCATCTCATCGACGATGCTGGTAGCCTTGACAATGATAAAACCAACGATGCGAAATACATCGATGACAAGGACTGTCCACTCCTCAGATGCCCAAGCTGCAGCTTGCAGACGCATGAGGCCGCAAAAAGTCACCCCGACGTGATTGGACACTCCCGTCATGAAACACAAGCGCTGGATTCGGTGCTCAAGTCTTTGGACGGCGGTACAAACTGCGGCAAGAGCCTAGATGCGGCGACTCCTCCATAAACACAGCACCCCTTACAGCTCTGAATGCTGCAGGACCAAGGTGCAACTCTTGCTCGTGCACCCAGCCATCCGGCACATTCCCCACCCAGTACCAGAAGCAAGTGAGCAAATGCCTCGGATTTTCAGGAACCAATCCAAGAGATAGTCTTAAATATCGACCCTTTGCTGGGGCATAAGCTAAGGGAATAGTCCTTGCTGCCTCAGTCTGATTCCCACAAGAATCCATCTTCTTGCCGTGCGACAGGCCGTACATCATGCTGGCAACATATTTGGCCACATCAATAACAAAGTGCCACGAGCTGCCTGAGAACGTGACAAGTCGCAATAGCAGGAAGCGGACGACATGTCGCGGTACCCCACTGCTATTTAGCCTGATCCGGCTTGTCAGCGGTGTGATGCTGGTGCTTCTTGTTGCTGTGGGTGGAGGCGGCGACGGTGCTTGCGGCGCTTGCAGGTGGTGCTGGAAGTGTGCATGCTGCCGGCGGTGTTGTGGGTTTGCAATCGTTTGTGTTTACTGTGGCTGTGATGCTGGTACTGATGCTGTTCCTGCTGGTGGTGAAGCCCTTGCTGTGGCTTTTTTGGCTGTGGCTTTTGCTCCTGACCTATAGCAACAATGGGCGTCGTCGTCGTGAGCAGTAGCAGTTAGCGGCAGCAGCAGTAGTAGTAGGAGCAGAAGTAGCCGCAGAAGTAGCCGCAGAAGTAGCAGCAGAAGTAGCAACAGTGGCAGTGTCAGTTTCAGTGGCAGTGAGTGGCAGTGAGTGGCAGTAGCAGTGGCAGTAGCAGTAGCAGTCGCGGTAGTGGCATCTACTTCTCTATCTCTGCCTCTACCCCTGCCCCTGCTGCTCCGCTACCTCTACCTCTACTTCTACCTCTACCTCTATGCCCGCTGCTCCCGCTAGCTCTGTCTCCACCTCTGCTACAACGACTTGTTTTGGCACTACGAGCACCCATACGAGTAGACCACACGAAACCCTGTGCACACGTCTACACCCTAAACCCTTAGTCAAACCCTAAACCCCTATACCCTAAACCCTAAAACCCTAAAACCCTAAACCCTCAACCCCAAAACCCTAGACCCTAAACGTCAGGGGGGGCCTGGCAGTCCTCGCAGCATGAAGGATTGCATCGCCTGCTTGATCTTCAACGCTCCTTGCTTCTGACAGGGCTTACTTAAAGGCTCATGGGACTTAGGAAGTCAGGTTATAAGTAGGTTATAATTAGGATAACCCCACTTAGGGGACTTATAACCCCAATTATAACCTACTTACTAAGTCCCATGATCCTTTAAGTACCCGTAAACTACCCCTTATAGCACCCGTTATAATTGGGGTTATAAGTCCCCTAAGTGGGGTTATCCTAATGATAACCTACTTATAACCTTACTTACTAAGTCCCCTGATCCTCCAAGTAGGCTGGTAGGTGAAGCTCCGAGATCCCAATACCCCTGAAGTAAGGAATATACCTTAAACTAGTAAGGGCTTCATGTTATGGTTTAAGCTATATTCCTTAATTAAGGGATATTTCAGAAGCCAAAAACTAGTAAGGGCTTCATGTTATGGTTGAAGCTATACTCCTTAATTAAGGGATATTGGGCTCTCTGGGAGGTGTTCTCAGAAACCGTGGTGGAGAAGCTGCTACAGTGCTTCCACGACCAGGTTAGATGCATGGCGAACAAGGGAACTATGAGCATTTTCTCGCACACAGAGCTACAACACGAGTCCGCTACCCAGTTGTGGGTTGAAAGGTGGCACGGGGGTGAAGTGAAGTGAAGGACGCCCGCAAGCAAATGTAAACATCTTGTGGTACATGTTCTTGATGTTTCCGAGGAACTCAATGTAGAGCTGTTGAAACCCTACAAAACCCTCAGGTCTGTGCAAACCTATAGTTGCATCCCTACACTTCTGTGGCAAGCAATGGAGGTGCATAGCATCAACAAAGGCCACTTTCCAGCCTTCGTGAAACATGAGTCAAGGGGGAAAAGGAGGGACCCCTAATGGGGACCCCTACCCTATAATGGGGTTGTATAGTGGGTATATAATCGCTATATTAGGGGTATATACCTAGGGGTCCTTGTTTCGGGTCCCTCCTTTTCCCCTTTGAATGAGTATTCAGCCTCAGTGTCCCAATAGGCAGGCCGTACTGTTGGAACGGGGTTTCGAAGTCATTGATTGTGTAAGAATATAGGCACTAGGGGACAGCTGTACCGATGTAGTATCTTAGGCCTGCAGTGGTTCCTATAACAACTTCAAGGCCGCATCACAATTCTTTACGGACGCATGGGCCCTCAACACTTTTTTGTGTCAAGCTTAGTCTCGCAGTAATCGAAGCAAGCGCAGAAGGCGAAGAAGCCGTCCGGCACGCGCGAGTCGCATGACACCTGCTCTCAAAGCAGTACTTAAAGGCTCATGGGACTTAGTAAGTGGGTTATAAGTAGGTTATAATTAGGGTAACCCCACTTAGGGGACTTATAACCCCATTTATATCTTATAACCTACTTACTAAGTCCCATGATCCTTTAAGTAGGTGTAGCACCTAAGGCCTAAGGTTGGGCTTCAGGGTTAAGAGCAGGGTTTGCCATCTAGGTCTAGGGTTTAGGTTGCCATGCGATAAGGTGGGGGATTGTAGGGGCCTTAATAAATGAGAATAGGGTTTTGGGGTTCCCTATTATAAGTATCATAAGATACACACCCAAACCCTATTATTCTAGTTATCAAGGCCCCTATACTACTGTGTTTTGTGCCCCCACCCTCCCCGCCCCCCCCGCCCGCCCAGACATGATCCGCGTGTGCTCCCAGACCTCACGAACCGCAGCACCTCAGAACCTTGGACACTCCCGAGAAACTTGAAACTGAAACACCAAGCCCTAAACAATCAAGCCGATACACTTCAAACGCTCAACTCCGAAAATTCTGAGGTCAAACCAAGAAGTTCGGCGCTTGGGGTTTGAGTTGAACTTCAGAGAGTCTTAGGCTTTCTGGGGGAAGGTTTCGGCTTTTGGGGCTAGAGCGGCTAGGGGTTGGGATCTCACTACAAGGGTGAGCTAGACTCTCAGCCACGGCAGCAAGAACACCCCTACAAAGTCCTCTGCTTTCTTGCTCCACGAATGTACGGACCAGGAACTGGAAGCCACGGTATTATGTAACACGCCAGACAAAACTGCACACCCATGCGCCAAACCTTAAACCCTTCCCAATTCAAAAGCACCCGCCCATCGGCCTAGAATGTGAAGCCATGAGTCGTGGTCGGACAGGGAATAAGACAGCCAATCCTTGAAGCCGGGGCCACACCCTAAACTCTAAACCCTGAACCCTAGATCGCGGTTTCAAAGTTTTGGCCTCACCTCCAGAACCGAATGACATTGAATGCTCCTTCGAGCCGAGTCTGTAAGGCCCGGTAAATGTTGAGGTTCTCCAGGTTTAGGGTTTAGCGTTTAGGGACATCATAGCATCATCTCGGAAAAGTTTCAGTGGATTGTCCCAGTGCTGCGATGTATGGCGATGATGCTTCTGCCATGCTCTTCCTCCTGCTCCTCCTCATGCTACCTATGACCTCCCCACAACGATAAATCCCTCAATTACGAAGCTGCTGTTCCTGAACGAATGGGATGCTGGTACCTTACCGTTACGGACTGCACATATATATATATACATATATATATATATGTACATATATCAGCACAAAACAGGCTAATATAGGATCCTTAACAATGAGAATAGAGTTTAGAGGCCCGGTGTAGCAGAATTATTCTAAGAAACTCCTAACATAGTATAATAGGTAATTGTTTAAGCCCCGATTAGTAAGCTTTTACCTATGGCTAGGATACCCAGTAACCTAAGAATAAAAAGGCCTCTCTTTTTGGTATTGGGTATCTTTATAAGGAACCTAGGACTACAACAAGGCAATAAGGGTACTACTGGGCATCCTAGTCTCAAAACCGGCACACGACATAATGAAGGTGTTTACGGTTTAGATCTATGAACGAAAGGGCTCCTAAGGTGGCACCCAAGGTAGGTATGGTAATCCCCAATATCCTAGGTAAGCTTTTGCCTATGATAGGGGGCCGTTTGCTCCTATCGCACTCAAGGCAAGGCACTAAGACCAGGAGACAGAGATCGAAAGGCATCCACGACATCACGTAGGCCTTCGCAACTTGAATGGGACTTCGTTGGGTACGGCCCCCATACAGTAACAGTCTATAATAGGGCTACTATTGAGGCCCTTATATATCTATATTATGAATATTATCCAACTGTTACTGAGTGGGGGCGGTACCCAAGGACTTCGTATTAAAACGATGACAGCTACGGTGCCGAAAATTATCAGGGCCTGATCTGGCTGATGAATTCCCTACTTGTCGGGTATCATGGTTTAGGGTTTAGGGTTTAGAGTTTAGGGATTTAGGGTTTACAAGAGTTTAGGGTTTAGGGTTTGCCACTTAGCAGCTGAGTGGATACACTTTACACCTTTTTGGGATAATACTACCCGCTGTAAAGCTGAAAGTGTAGACTTTTTTGGGGCTTCAACTAGGATTCCGATGGCAGGCCTCCAAAACGATGGAGGAGACTTGTTGCAATTACAACTGCTTCCTTGGGCTTGCTTATCAAGTACTTGTCTCAATGGCCCAGAACATAAGGAAATAGAAGTTGAAACTTTCAGAATCGACTACATTATAAGAGCCCCCAAAAAGTTGAAAAGTTGAGTATACAGCCAATAAGCTGTACTCTTTAGTTCTGACTGCTGAAGTATCCAAGGGTAAAGGGAGGGACCCTTAAGAAGGACCCCCTAGATATATACCCTTAATATAGCTACTATATACCCATTTTGTAGCCCATTATAGGGTAGGGGTCCCCATTAAGTGTCCCTCCTTTTCCCCTTTGAAAGTAGACTTGCCAACCTTCGCAATGCCGACGCCATCCTGCACCAACCTGCCGTCAACCTTCGGCGCGCGGAAGCTTCCCTAAACCCTTTATAAACCCTAAACCCCTATACTGAACACTAAACCCTAAACCCCTAAACCCCTACACCCTAAACCCCAAACACTAAACCCTAAACCCGAGGTTTACGTTCGGCTCGGCCCATGATCCTCCGTTTACCCATTCTAGGGTCCCCTAAAAGCACATAAGCAAACATGAGGGTACGGATATCCTATATACGCCCCCTGAAAAGGAAGGCCCATAAGGTAGGGATATCCCCATAAAATGCTGATGCTTATGTGCTTTTTGGCTCCCTAATTCCTGACGCCTCAAGGGACAGTGCCCGCAGCTTCCCCCTTTTCGTTTCACACCCCACATGCCCAAAAAGTCGCAACATCATGCTCAGGGTTAATGATCCGCCTCAAACCCACATTCTTCTCGCTTGGGATGCCAGACTTATGGCTGTATACTTATGGCTGTAGATGCTTACATCGGAAACGTGCTTTCATCGCCTAGGCTAAGACAGTACTGTTTTATGTAGTTTCGTCAGTCATGATTGCAGGGCAGGTGGTTCTCACATGGTATATATATATATATATACATACAAAAATATGTAAATATATCTGTATATACATATATATATAAATATATATATATATATATTGTGGTGACCGTGTTCACCCACTTCCACAAAAAATGATAAGCAACAAGTGTTGATAGGTTGGTCCGATTTGACCGGACCGCTCTCTTTGCGACCTCTGTGTACTGATATATAATCCTAGGTGTTGGGCGTCGATTTCAACAGCTCCAAAACGATTTACAAGGTGGGTACGATGTTCAACCACAACAGGAAATTTAAACAGATCTCAAATCGGCACCCAAGATGTACGTCTTCTCTCCACTCGAAGGAAAACGTGCTTCGTCACGAGCTGATGATCGGTCCGGCTGGTTTAGGGAAGCGTGTCGGAATTTCTCATCAAATCCACACCGGGCCACATACACGGCCGTGAAGAAAGAGAGCACCACGTCCTCAGTTCAGTCTACTTAAAGGATCATGGGACGTAGTAACTGGGGTTATAAATAAGGTGACTATACGTTTAATTACTTCTATCCCCAAGTAAGGTTCGTCTAACCTTACTTACTAAGCCCCATGATCCTCGAAGTAGACCCTAAACCCTAAACCCCATAGACCCCTTTAAGGATTTGCTGAGTTCATAAGCCCCCAAAAGTGTACACGTTCAGTTTCATGGCGGGTAATATTATCCTAAAAAGTGTAAAGTGTATCCACTCAGCTACTAAGCAACTGTTGCTGCGATTTCATTCGCACGGTCGCGCCATGTTTACACAGATAGCCTTTACCCTTCCAATAGGTTGCATTCTTGCTTGCAGGCGGTGATTTCCAGAACAACACGTGGGCATCCAGAACAACAAGTGGGCATCAAAGGGTAAGATTGATCTGTGGATAACTGTGGTGTACAATGTGGCAAAGTTGCAGCAAAAGGGTTTGGTGGCAGATGCTCGTGTACTGACGGACCCGGTGTCCAAGTCAATGGCGCAACATTCATAGCAATCAGGTTGGTGGTCTGTAAACGCGTGGGCAGCCAATGCCCACCTTAGGTACGGGAACTTCAACTGCAACTTGTCCGTGCTGATCTTGTTCGAAAAAACAACGGAAGAAGCTAATCGTTTCCATACGAAAGTCGCATCCATCACTTTTGCACATCCGGTTTGGGATTGTGATGCTACGGCAAACCCACCTCCTCCGAACACATGGCATCCAAGCTCATCTACAACATTTGGTGGTACAGGTTTAATGACATTTGGTTGGATTGTGTGAGCCAGTGGATTGTTCAAGCTAGATGATCTCCGAGTTTTTGTTACAAGCGAGGTTCTACAGCTTTATGATTCAACAACGATGGGTAGGCAGTAAAGCTTGGATGAGTACGGCTCTTGCAGTTTGGGCTCATGAATCTCAATGGTCCCTGAAGGGAAGTTGCTTTACCACGGCAAATAAGAAACCCTAATACAACACAACAAATAGTAGGATCCTTATTATAAGGACACGAAAATGAGGTACCTCATTTTTCGGAAACTCCCATATAGGCACTTAGGACCCTTTGTGTTTTACCACCAAGAAGCTTCCGAATGCTGCCGGTCCCTCAAGTTGTGCTTCAGCAAGACTTTGCTCCGTGAAGCCCGGGGGGAGCTACTTCGCTTCATTGTAACCTAGGGCCTAATATAGGGGCCTTAATAATTAGTATAGGGTTTGGGGGCCCATTATACTCCAATTATACCCTAAACCCTAAACCAATTATTAAGGCTCCTATAGTAATCCGCGAGATCTCCGGCTATAGCCTTCCCAGAGAGTCCTCTCTACTATAGGACTTAAGGGCCTTTTGAGGTATCAAAAACCAGAAACAGGATGTCCAGTAACCTTGGAATAAAAAGGGCTCCCTTGGTATTGGGTACCTTTATCTCACTGGCCCAACACCCAAGGGAATAAAGGTGGAAACCTTCAGAATCGACTACTTTGTTTGCTCCCCAAAAGTTGAAAAGTTGAGTTTACCGCCAGTAAGTTTTAAGGAACCTAGGATTACAAAAAGGGAATAAGGGTACTACTGGGCATCCTAGGAAATTAAGAACTACTTCGGTTGAGGAAATAAATCTGTATTACCCAGAAGAAAGGAATATACCATTATTCCCATAGTTTATGGTCCTTAAGGTAATGCAGGATTTATATCATCAACAGTTGGACCCTTAGAGATGCATTTCGGGGCGGAGTACCGAGGCCCAAACGAGATGAACCTTTTGAAGGGCGGTAGGATTAAAACACCCCAAAAGCGTCAGGCGAAGCCAACAAAAATCGAAGTCTAGGGTTTAGGGGCTTAGGGTTTAGGGTGCTAGAAGTGCTAGAACATCGAAGCTGACTGCAACCAGCGGCGAAGAAAGCCAAGAACCGTCTGGGCTTAGAGTCTAGAGTTTTCAGGTTGTTCAAAATGGCCCAAAAGCCTTATATAAAAGGGTCTTTAAGCCCAAAAGCCTTAAAATATGAGTCCTTAGAGCCTTCCTTAACCCTGAAAAACCTACCTTTTTAGGGTTCCTTATTATGATTTCCTTACATAAGTCCTTAAAAATGCAGGTTATTCCGGATTCAGGTTAGGCTTAGGGATCTGCAGCAAGGACAAGTCTCCAGCGACCAGAAAGTATCCGACATCACAATCCAAGAGCTTTGCATCGTCCTCTGGTCAGCATCCACGTCAAAGACCTGTGGCTCGGCAACTTCTATCCAAGGGTAAAAGGAGGGACCCTTAATAAGGACACCTAGGTGTATACCCTTTATATAGCTATTATATACCCATCATATAGCCCGTTATAGGGTAGGGGTCCCCATGAAGGGTCCCTCCTTTTCGCCTTTGATTCTACAACTACGACTTCTCTGCCTGCAGGTGTTTAGTTTCACGAAGTTGAGGGCAAAATGATAAATGCCAGCACCGCTTTGAAGAAAGAGGGTCTGTGGTTTAGGGATGAAGGCTTAGGGCTAAACGTCTGATACCACTCTAACTGGAAGATCACGGGACTTCGTAAGTCAGGTTGTAAGTACCTTATTTGGGGCTGTAAGTAATTCTGACTGTACTTCTCCTAATAATGACCCTAGTTACTAAGTCCCAGATCCTCCAAGTACGTCTAACCCTAAGGGTCCATGTACCCAAATAGTATATCCTTTGGGCCCAAAGTACAGTACCTATACAGAGAGTACTTTACGGCCAAAGTATACTATTTGGGCACCGGGTCCCTTAGGGTAAGGCTCCAAATAGTCCTGTAACACATGCTTCGGCTTGAAAGTCGCGATGTGGGTAGCATTGACGGGCTTCAGTATCCCTAAACCCTAAACCCTAACCCTGAACTGTGGATACTTGATGGGTAGTTCTCAAGTCTTGCATTTTTCAAGAGGGGCTTCGTAGAGCTTGTTTGACACAGGGGCCTGGGCCTCGAGGGGCGAAAACAGGCAAGCTCCACACGTTTCAAAAGGGTTTAGGGTTTAGGGTTTAAGGGTTTAGGGTTTAGGCACGTCCGGATTTCGTCACGGTCAGGCTAGAGAATACATGACATGATTCCATCGTCTCCGCGACAAGGACGACAACTTGGGCGAGGCCACTGCAACTGCCACCTCACACACACACACACACTGACTGATTGCTAGTAGTACGACAAGGTGCATGGAGGGGGCTGACAAGCATATCCTGCAACAGAACGATGAGCATGAGCGCATCCCAACACCTGGCTGCCAACAAGAGAGGTTCGGGGTTTGGGTAATTATTGAGGTTTTGGGACGCCAGCCCTATGTGCCACAGGATTCTGGAAGGTGTACTTCGTGCAGTATGTAAGCCAAAAGAAATACCGATGCCAGCCGGAACACCTACTGGAGGAGTGTCAAGATCGGGCAATACCGTCCCCTTCTAGTCCCGACAAAAATATACTATCGAGTGTAAGTACTAGGCTCCAATGCTATACACGTCTTATAACGAAAAGAAGCCTCTGCAAGATTGCATAGGAGCAACAAAGATGCCACTCTTCATATGGGCTCCTACATTGAGGTACGTAACACGCGAAACCATTGTAAGACACCCGGATAAAAAAGAAACCAAGACTCAAAAGGAGAACAACGCAACTAAAGAGTGCCTAGCAGCCTTAAACGACAAAAGGATCCCTAAATCCTAAACCATATACCCTCCTTGCAGCTTCATGCAACTTAGTGAGTGAGGTTATAAGTATCGTAAATACGCTTATAAGTAGTCACAGGTATAGTCACCGTCTTTAGAACCCTACTTATGCTTGGGTTGCCTGAGGGTTAAGGCTTTTGTTTTTGTTTAAGGGCCCCTTTCGGTGTCTGCAGATGGCGTAGCGAAAGCCTAGTAGTTAAGGCGGGTAGACCACCAGTTTTGGTGACCCTAAACCCAGAGAGCCCAATACCCCTTAATTAAGGAATATAGCTTAAATCATAGTATGAACCCTTCATATTTTAAGGTATATTCCTTAATTAAGGGGTATTGGGCTCTCTGGGAAACTCGAAAACATAACGAAAGTCGCATCTCAGCCATCCTTCAGCAGCATCTTCTCCAACACGAGTCTTTGGCAACCCCCATCATCTTTGTCATCCACTGGATCCAACATGGTAGCCGGCGACGTAGGGTTTAGGGTTAGGGCAAGGGCTGAGAAGTTTAGGGTTGTTGGGTTTCTTTGTGGTGTTTAAACTGTTGCGTTTAGCGCTTCTTTGCCGGGCAGAAGGGTATCCTCACACAGGAATGGTGGGTTTAGGGCCGATCATGGGACTTAGTAAGTAGGTTATAAATTGGGGTTATAAGTCCCCTAAGTGGGGTTACCCTAATTATAACCTACTTATAACCTTACTTACTAAGTCCCATGATCCTTTAAGTATTTGGTATCCTTGCGACTCCTCAACTGAACTTCAACCCATTGGGCTTCCCCTATAGCACCCTACATCACCCTAACTTATAGTAACCCTCGTTGTCCCCAAACCCTAAGAGCACAGAACCCCCAAAGTGAGACCCTGCATGGTACTTAAAGGATCATGGGACTTAGTAAGTAAGGTTATGAAGTAGGTTATAATTAGGGTAACCCCACTTAGGGGACTTATAACCCCATTTATAACCTACTTACCAAGTCCCATGATCCATTAAGTACCCGAAGCCCTAAACATTAAAACCCTCTTCATAGGCCAAAAACCTACGACTGAGCGTCTGGCAGACGGCACCTGGACGAGGGATAGAAAACCCACCGCGATTTCTGCTCCTTGGTTCCAAGCTTGTAAACGAGATGTCCTGGGTACTGCCCCCCATAGAGTAAGAGTCTATAATAGGGCTACTATTAAGGTCCTAATATAACTATATTATGAGTATTATTCAACTATTACTGAGTGGGGGCCGTACCCAAGAGATATCTGAACGGATGCAGGAGCATGAGAAGGAGCAGACGGAGGAGGAGAAAGAGTGGACGAAGAATCAACGAGCCCTGCATCGTCATCCTGGCCATGACATCCGAGCTTCAATCACCGGCATCGCTGTTGGCGATATTGGAGTCTTCGCCTGGGTTCTTTCTAAGGTATTATATTCGTGCTACTACCATAATTATGACGAAATCCGATCATGCACTATATACTATAGGCCCCCATCGTGGCAACTTGAGTTAAGGTACCAGAGACTCCAAAACCCCATGGCTTAGGAATGCAGCTTAAATGTTGAAGGAGTCCTGACTATGATTGGAGGTATGTGCCTTAATTAAGCATTATTGGAGCCTCCGTGATCCTTCACCGGGCTTTGAAGATGCTTTGAAGTAACCAAGGAGAGAAACATGTATACACTTTGATTTCATATGGCTCCTTCAAGGAACCGGTCCCAAAAAATATGTTAACTAGGATGCCCAGTAACCTAGGAATAAAAGGGGCTCCCTTTTTGGTATTGGGTCACTGTGTAAGGGACCTGGAACTACAAAAAGGGAGAAAGGCCTCACTGGGAGGTCTAGTTAAAGCATTGGTACAGCAACTTACTCCCCCAATTTACTACTAAAATAGAAGAACCAAAAAAAATGAAAAGTTTGGTATTGGAGAACTAAGAGAGCCCAGCAAGAACCCAGCCACGCTCTGAGTCTTGCTGGCGGTCTTCGCGGCTCGTAGTGGCCTCAGGGGTCATGTCATTACGTAGCAGGTCCTGACTGCCGTTGACCTTGGGTTTAAGGGGAGGGTTTAGGGTTTATGTAGGGCCTTCAAGTTTACGGGTTTAGGGTTTAGGGAAACCCACACAATACCCTAAACTCTAACACTGCTGAGAATTTAGGATGGATCCCAAATGGCTGCTGTCCAAGGAAAGGACCCAGCCAATTGGGATACCCGGGTTTGGGGCAGTAGTTGGGAGTTTCCAAAAATTATTGTACCTTATTTTGGGGTCCTTATAATGAGGATCCTGCTATTTAGGGTACTAGATTAGGGCCCCCTATTTTCGGAAACTCCCAGTTATGTAGTAGCAAAAGGTGAACATGCAGGTGCTTGTAAGGTCCAGGGAAACCCTCAACCCCAAACTTTCTGGGTCCAAGGGACGGAAACATCACATACTCGGTACAAGATGGTAGTTATGTACTAGGAGTCGATTTCAACAGTGCCCAATATGATATTTAGATTCAAGGTTCTACTTTACACAACAAGGGGAGTTTAAGTCTTATTCCCAAAATCGATACCAAGTAGGTTAGAATGCCCTAATTTCCTTGCAAGGAAAGGCCCGCTTACCCATTTTGGATTCTCTCGTAGGGTGCCCTATGCTGTCGAAGCCCCACCTGTTCGCGAGAGCGATCAGTTGTGGTTGCAGTGGAAAGCGCAGATCCTGGCACCACGCCGTAGCCCCCAAATATCTAGGATACCCCAGGCCCGCAGAAATACTGCATACAAGTGCCCAGTCCGAGAATGGAACAAAGGCTCCATGTAGCTTTGCAGTAGATGCTTAGGCCTTGAAGGGGTCCCTATAAAGGTACTTTAAGGCCTAAGTATATACTATATGGGCACATGGAGCCTTAGGGGTTGGGGTTTTTTAGGGTTCAGGGGGTGCAGTTTTGGCTGATCTAGGCTTGCCAGCGTGTTTGGGAGCTGGAACTCTGGGAAGACCCACTAGCCGTGTTCGCCGAAACACCAATAAAGGGTTTAGGGTATAGGGTTTAGGGTTTAGGGGTTTAGGGTTTAGGGGTTGAGGGGTTTGAGGGTTTAGGGTATGGGCTTTAGGGGTTTAAGGGTTTAGCTTTTCGGGTTTTTGGATTAGCCAGTAAACGGACGGTCTGAAGTACTGCGGCTCCTCATCCGCGGCAAACTCACCGTCATGTGGCCTTGGTAGAGCTGCTTGTAGGGAAGTGTCTAAGAGCTTCCGGTCGGAAGCGCCCAAGTACATAATGATACGGGCTAAAACTCTAAGGCCGTTCCTTCCGGCACCCATTTAAAGTGAACATTGGAAAGTTGGAACATGGATGTAGGATGATTAGTCACCGGAATCCCTATGCGTTACCTTAAGGGCATGAGGATAATGATGTTCCAACTTTCTGGCTTCTACTGTATCCTGAACCTATACTGAACTTAGAACCCTGGCAACAAAATTGAATTTTAGCTGTTTCTTAGGGATTATAATAACCAAAAATCAAAGAATATTTCTAAGTACCCCTAAGGAACCTGAAGCAGCAAGTTGCTGTAGACGACCCGACTATCGACCCCACCTTGTTGTCAGGACCCTTAACCCCGAAACCCTAAACCCCTCAACCCTAAACCCCTAAACCCTAAGCCCGAGGCCCTAAACCCCCAAACCCCTAAGCCCTAACCCCTAAACCCTAAGCCCTAAACCCCAAAACCCTATCGTACCTTAACAGAGGGCCTGACCTTAAGAACTCCCTTTGTCAACTCAACGAGAACTGTAGCCACCGAGGTCTGCCGTCTTAACAAGCAGCCCTGTGAACAGACCACAGATTCCAGCCCTTTTTTTTTGTGGGGGGGGGGGGGGAAGGACAAATGATACAAGCTTAGGATTCAGGCTTTAGAAGCACTTCTTGCAAATACACGGTTTATCTATTTTCTTCACCGCACTTGTGCGTGTGAGAAGCTTTGACGGCAGTTTCGATCAACCTCTTTGATCAATCAATCAAGCTCGACATCTCCACGAAATCCCGAAAGGACGAACTACAACTCCTAAACCCTAAACCTTACAACCCTAATAAATCCTAGACCCTCAACCCTAAACCCTGCTACAAATGCTCCTATCCATGCCTGCCTTTAACGGCAAGGAGCCCATGAACTCCAAAGCGGGGTGAGCAATAGGGGTTTACTAGACCCAAGAGTAACCAAGGAATAAAACGGGTGCGCTTTTCGGTTCAAAGAAACTTATAAGGGAACCTGAACCCTAAAACAAGGGAATAAGGGCCTACTGTAGCTCATCAGGGTTTGGGCAGGAGGATGACTTTCCCAGACTTGACCCTATACCACTAAAGGGGGCTTCAACGGAACCTGTTATCCTCCCCTGGCCTGGCCTGGGTTTAGGGTTTAGGGTTTAGAGTTACTATAAGGGCCACTATGAAGGTTTATTCTAGGTGCCTTAAGAAGTGGAACAAAACTGGACTTTGGAGTAACCAGGGAGAAAAAGTATAGATTTCATAATGGTTCCTTTATGGAGCAGGTAAAGAAAAAACGTATTCAAGGAGGGTACTCCAAACAAAGGAGTACTTCATTTCAGGATGAATAAATAAACTACTGCAACTGCAGTAAAGCGCACTGAGCACTAACCCTTATTCGGGTTTCCAGAATATCATCTTCAGAAACAGTGCACTAGCGGCAGCAAAAGCAACACTGAACTGTCAGCAAAACCAGCAATAGGAGTTTCAGACCGACAACTACAAGGATGACAGGTCTCTTGCATGGACTTGCAATGCAACTCCCCCATCTTCCTCAAACTTCTTACTATTATCGTGTCAAAAGGCCTCTCTTTTTGGTATTGGGTAACTTTACAAGGAACCTAGGACTACAAAAAGGGAATAAGGGTACTACTGGGCATCCTAGCAGATACTTAGGACACATTTGGGGAAGCTCTTCGCACCCCGCGGATGCTTAAACAGCCCTTACCCTGAGGATCCAAGTACATACTCTAGATCCTTTGGACCCTGATATCCTCATGTAAGCCTCCTTCTAATCTTTGGACACCTGTAACCTTCTGAAGCTCTCTAAAACCCTTTAGAACCCTATCAGCCCCGTTCTAGAACTCCTCTTTATGAAGCTCTCCAAAATAATACATAGAACACTATAAGCCCCCTTGTCTAAGCCCTATAGAACCCTAGTTACTAGGTCTATCGCATCCTGGGAGTTGCAGAACCCCACCAGAACCTACGGTTCAGAGGAGTTTGGGGCTTTAGAGTTTAGGATTTACAGGTTACGGGCTTACTATTTTTGGGTTATAGGGGCGGGGTTTCTTAATCAGGTTCCTACATTAAGCTGCTCTTGCGGGGCGGCTCTTGGCTCATGCTCTTGACATCCCGCACACTGTAGCTCACCCGACCTGGGGAATAACACAGGTTTGGGTCGCTTGCGAAGAGCTTAGGGTTTAGGGCCTAAGGCTTGTACCTTAAGGTTTCGGGCTTAGGGCTTAGGGTATATTACAGGGCTTAGGGCTTGGGGCTTAGGGTTTAAGGCTTGGAGGCTTATAGAGCTGGGTCTAGGGCCAGGACCTTTTACGTTCAGGTCTAGGGTTGAAGGCTTCGCATGGGCAGGGGCATCAGCAATGGCATGCAGTACAAGAAGAAGTAGTAGTAGTCGTCGTAGTCGTAGTCGTAGTCGTAGTCGTAGTCGTAGTCGTAGCCGCCACAAGTGCTCAAGCGGCCGCGCTGAATGAGAGGTTTCGAACAGGCTTGGGGCGCAACTGCTGTGCTAGAGGCCCCAACCGGGCCCTTTTCTGAACAGTAAAGGTTTGTGCCTCCTTCTACGCCATGGTCCTCTCCCTTTTCTCACAGGAGCTGCTTTGAGCCGCCAGGTCCCAATTCCTGGGCCCAGACTCTGTTTAAAACATTGCAACACTGGGTAGGCGGTAGGGTTTCCACCTCCGCGCGGTGGAGGGAGTCATTAGGCTTCTGTCTCTTGACGAAAGTAGCGGATGGCGCAATTGCCAGTGCACTCACAAAACTTTGCATCTCTTCGTAAGAATTCGTTCAAGACAGCATGTAGAAGGACAGTCCGTAGTGACGGGCCCGTACCATACCGAGGGCAGGTTCTGACACCTACCCTGGTTGATCGTCTGGGGGTGCGCCCCCCACCCACTCGAAGAGAGCTTCAGTCACAGACTGCTGACTCCCCTGCATATGGCACAGCCTCCCGCAGGGCAGGAAGGTTGGAAAGATCCATTCGAGTTCTTTCGTGGAACGCGGGCCACCTAGGCCAACAGCAATGGGGCGAACTCAAAACGTGGCTAGCAGCTGAAGCCTCTCATCACTGCGACATCCTCATATTGCAGGAAACGCACTGGACTGAGACCAGTGAATTCAGCGTTTCTGGGTGGTACTGTATCTCCTCAGCCTCGGAGTCTACCAAACCCAACACCCGGCCTAAACAAGCAGCGAAGCGAAACACTCGGCAAGAACCGCGAGCTCCATCCACGACTCGCGCTGATGGAGTCATGATCCTATTCTCTCCCAAGTTCGCCCCCAAAAGCTTACGCTGGAAGGAGTGGAGCCCGGGTAGAGTCTTAGAAGCTCGGGCGGACATTGCAGGTACTCGGCTGGTTGTCGTCGCGGTGTACCAACACGCTTGGTCTTCTGCCAAGACCATCCAGTCCAATAAGGACGACCGTGCTAAGGTACTATCTGTCATGTCCAAGGTGATCAAGCAGGTGCCTAAGAGGGACTCCCTTATTGTAGCAGGCGATTTTAACACCTCCCTGCGTCCGAGCTCTCCATTGGTGGGAACGCACGTGAAGCCACCCACTGAGGACCGCCCTGACGAATCCAACTTGTTTAATCTGCTGCTCAGGCTGCGTTTGGTTGCCCTTAACACCTGGCAATGTGACCATATAGCTACCTTCTCACAAGGAGGCGTGGAGTCGCAAATTGACTTCATTCTAACCAAAGAATCTACGGCGGGGGGCAAAGCCAAACGGTCAGCCCCTTGGGTGGACTGTCCATTGGGCAGCTGGAAGAAAGGAGGGCATTACCCACTCAAAGCTGACGTGCCCCTCCAACACCACTGGCTGCTCCCATCCCACAAGCCCAGCACGCGCCGGTATGATTCACTAGCTCTACAGGCCTCAGTCAGGGAGGAGGACGATACGGCCAAGGCCCTGCACAACTGGATCGCTTCCAGAATCGACACCTGCCAGGACCCCAAGGCATGGAATGCGTTGCTTTTGGAAGGTGCAGAACGCTTTTTCCCAAAAATTCCCAAAAGAAGACCGATCCCGCTGGAATCGGAAACCCGTCGAATGTGGCGGGCCCGCACCCATGACAGGGCTGCGAATACCACTCCCTCAGCACAGCTGATCGAGTCACCTAAAGCAATGGCACAGCCTCCTAATCAGAACACGCCACGTCCGCCGGAAACCGAAGCTGAGCTGGCACAAGTGGCACACCGCCAGGCTGTGAAACAAGCAAAGAAAGATCGAATTGCGAGTTTCATATCGGAAGTGGACGCGTGTCTAGCTGAAGGTGATCAACATATCTCCTTCCAGACCCTCAAAAAGCTGCAGCCTTGGCAGCCTGCGCGCAGAGCTCAGCTAAAGGACAACACAGGACATTTACTAGGTCCAGCGCAGGAACTAGCAGCCCTCAGGGACTATGCCAATCAGGTATTTGCGGCCCACCCGCCGTTACGGACAATGCATGGAGCTTTCCCTGCTTTGGAGCCGCCCAAATTAGCAGCTCACATACATTCCATCAAGCCGAATAAAGCTGTTCCTGACGGAGCGGCACCAGCGGCTGTATGGAGGCTGTGTAGCGATCTCGTTGCACCGGTCCTCTCCGAACACGTAGCATCCAAGCAGGCCGAGGACAGTCTAGAATCCGACCTCGTAGACGCAGATCTCTGCTTAATACCCAAGCCGGGCAAGCCCTCTGACAAACCTGCAAACCTGAGACCCCTGGGCATCCTTAGGCCTGACGCTAAGGGGCTGGCGGGAGCGGCCAGAGAAGCGCTTCAACCACTGACACTCTCGTTCCTCAAGCACATGCCACAGTTCGCTTATCTACCAGGTCGGGGGCTGTCAGACGCGCTAGAACGCGTGGTGCATCACTTGCGAGAGGCTCGATCCCTGTTAGAACAGGCTCACCCCACGAGACATGCCCTGCAACAAGGCACACAGGCCCCGGCCTTAGTCGGCGGCCTCACCTTTGCTCTTGACCTCAGCCAAGCGTTTGACACTGTCTCTCGCCAAGAGATCATCGACCTTCTTCAGAGAGAAGGGGCCGATCAGGACACAGTCCATCTAGTTCAGGCTCTACATGATGGGTCTCGTTACGTCCTTCACGCGCAGGGAGACTCCACCTCTGTTGAAACCACAGCAGGCATTAAACAAGGATGTAAGCTCGCCCCCACACTCTTCTCGCTCCTTACAGGTGACCTTTTCCGCTCTTTGGTTGACCTTTTCGGTGCTGAGCAGGTCTTGAAATTCCTGACAGGATATGCCGATGATCTCACGCTCCATCGGACTATCCGCTCTGACAAGGACCTCAGGGCCATTCATGCGCTTATCGCAGCGCTACTTGAGGAGGTCCGCAAACACCGCCTACGCGTCAACATCAGCAAGTGCGTCATCTTAGTGAAGTTAGCGGGTAGAGAATCCCAAAACGTGATGAACAAACACGGCTGCTGGATCACCAACTCAAGGGCGAGCAGGTTCGCGGATGGCGCATAGGGCCCAACAAATCGTTCCCCGCCTTCCAGTGGGTCTCCTGTAGCAAGTACCTGGGGGTTATGATCTCCTACAACAACTTCGAGCTGCAATCCTTACATTACCGCATAGGGGAAGCCAAGCAAAAGCTGCATCAAGTCCGCCAGTTTGTCTACAATCGCCGGCACGCGAGCACCATGTCGAGACTTAAGGTTTGGCAAAGCACAGTCCTGAGCACACTGACGACAGGCCTCTCAGACGTCGGACTCAGCGAGGAGTCGGCCAAGCAGCTACGCAGTTGGCATGCTTACAAGGTGCGATCAGTGCTGAACTTACCAGCACACACCAGCCGCATCACCACTAAGGATCTCTTCCAGCTTTATAGCATTCAGGACCCAGTTCAAGCGATGCAGGTCAAGCTCAGGAAGCGACTCCGCAAACTTGAGCGACGTGCAGCCAGTAGCCCAGATATCACAACCGATCCTTCTGTCTTGCAGGTCATCCGGGACAAGCTGCATTTCATGTCACAACTCCCTGAAACAGTTGAGCACCCTGTAGCCCTACATGCATGCACACTCTGCGATGCCTCCTTCGAGACAGCAAACGGGTTACACTTACACACGTCGAGAGTGCATCCAGCCAGCATTGACCGATTTGTGCCATCAAGCTTCGATCGACAACTCCACGCGGTGGATGGGATGCCGCAATGTGCTGCTTGCATGCGCAAATTTCATCAATGGAAAGGTCTTCGTGACCACTTGTTGTCAGGAGCATGTCCGGAGCCCCAGAAGCTTCGAACTCTGAACGTGACTGACAAACACTCAAGTCACCCTGAGGTAAGGACCCTGTCCCAGCTGCGACAGGACATCGCCCAACTCCCACAACATCGAATAGCGGTGATCTCAAAGACACCGGAGGCCCGGGTCCTGATCCATAGGTGCCTCACGTGTGACTTCTGGACTTTCGATCACACTAAAGTCAAGTCACACTTCCGTCAGGCGCATCCTAAGGACTGGTCAAGGCTGCACAAGCGCGCAGTCTCAATATGTCAGGGTTTCTCGCCTCACCTTGCCAAGGGACATCCGTGTTCATTCTGCGGTTACAAGGTCTATGATCGTCGACTGCACCCGGAACAATGCCCCGTACTTTATCAGGTGAGCACACAGTGGCTGCGAGGGCAACCGGAGGCAGAGGAAGCCGTTACTGCTCCCCCCTCCAAGCCCCAAGAACGGTCACTGACCCACTTCTTTAAGTCACGGTCGAATGGCACAGCCTCCAATCAGTCGAGCACAGCTCGTCAAACCCCGGCAGACAAGCAGGCGTCTGATCCGCAGTCCTCAGGACAAGCGGAAATTAGACCCGAAGGAGTGCACAAACGCGCTCTGACTAACACGTCCAACTCGTGTTACGCCAATGCCCTATTCCAGGCTCTGCATCAGATCTCGAGCTTTGGGTACGACCTAGGTGCTTTCCAGTCCGTCCTATCCCATCTAGGCGACGAGCGAGCCCCCAGATTACTGAACCTGTTCGGCTTGTTTGAATTTCGCCATGCAATCTCAGGCTGGCGACTTGACGGCAGACAGCATGATGTCTCAGAGCTGCTTCTGCATATGCAGTCCAAGCCTTTTGGCTCCCTTCAACAAACCCACTGGCAGGGTCGTACAGATGGCGAGGTTGAGGATTCA